GTTCAACGTAAAATTTTTGAATTTAATAAATATTTAAATTGAAGATGCATCTTCCGAAGAATTTTGTTTTTTATGTTAAATAAAATGTGTTGTAAATGGTTTACAAGATTCAAATGTTATTTTAGATGTTTAGCCCATTTCTGTTTTTGATACTTTCTTTTTAAATATAAAAAATGGCAACAAATTTAAACCTTTGTAAAATATATAGAAATATTTACTTAAATATTTATGCAAATGAAAAAAGTGAACGTTTTGATAAGAGAGTAAAACCCAAATTATCCTTGTTTCGTACATATTGTACGCTTTGTTTTAATGCGCATATTTTATAGTCCTATGTTTTAAATACTCTATCTATGTTGACGCTCAACCAGCCGCTAGGATTGGGACTTTAATAATTAACCCAATTAACATACAGGTTTTTAATTAGTCAGTATATACACTAACTTTGGCTTTGTTTTTTTTTTGGAACTTTGGGCATGTTGACTCCCAACTAGCTTCCTAACCTAGACGTACTAAATTTATAGTTAAATAAGAGTATAATTATCCGAAAATAGTTGATGCAATCAACACGAATGCACCTGCCAATTCACATAATTTCTTCTGCCCATATTTTTATGTGGTTTACATTGAAAAGTACTCATCATAAATCCTTAAGCTCTAATCATTTGACACCTGCGCCAATGTCTCAAGTAAACCGCAAAATCAATAAGCCTACAAAACCTGCGGATATATGTACATATATCACATGTCGGCTCTTCCGCTTTTAAAGGGCTTCCATTTATAGAAGTCGTGATAAACAACCGCCAATTACAGTCAACCGCAAGTAATTCAAAGCCGACAAATGGTTAAGAACTTGTTGTATAAAATGTGTACAATTTTATCAAATCGATTCTTTATTCATTTCCTAAAGCACTTCGAAACGCAGCTCATAATTTGCCAACGATTTGGTTCATAATTTAGCGCCCCAATATTCTTGTACATAAAACGATATTTTATGGGTTTTGGACTAACGCGCTGAATGTGGCACATAAATTGTTGACAGTTCCTGTAAGGGACATTATATATTACCTTTATATTAGCCAACAGGTTGGCCATAATAAACATTGAATTACTTTTGCCATATTATATGGTTAAACTTTTTGGCTATTTCAGCTGGTGCAGCTTTAAAGTTGATATTAAAATTGGCAAACTTGTGAAACTCATTCGTCATGCTCAAGTAAACTGGGGTTAATATGATGAAAGAGCGTGTTTTTGTCAGCATGGTCAGTTAAGCAGCTGAAGCACTTGGCCGAAAGGGTTGCAAAGTAACCCTTCTCCCCCCTATTTGGGTCACTTGTGGCCGAATGTAATTAAAATATTTGGTTACTTTTTATTTTTTTTTTGCTTCGACAAAAACCATATAAAGAACGCAGTTATGTTTATCCCTTTTTCTGCCTGAAACGAACGAACTCCATTTGGTTTGGTGTTATGCGATATCATTATCATCAGCATAAACATTATCAGCAACAGCCCGTCTCATCAGCATTTTCATTGCCCCGCTTTTGCATAATTTTGAACATTTTTGGGGGCGCATAATCCGCAGCCTTGATGACAACTAAAATGGGTAAAAATAAAAACACGGCCATAGAAAACATAGCTCGAAAGTAAGAAAAGTTGTTGCCACGCACATGCAAAGGCTTCTGTGAGTGTGTGTGTATGTGTGTGTATTACTTAAATGTTTAAAAAATGAAGCGCTGAAAAGTTTGGCGCCCATATTACGCATACGCCATGTTGCGCGGCTTGGCTGCCGAGCTTGGGATTATGTCTTGGGCTCATATTGTTAATGACATGCAGCTGCTGTTTTACTTGCGGCTGTGTGTGTGAGTTCGTGAGTGTGTAAATTTCGCTTGACAAACTTATGAATTTTAAGGTGAATCGCATGTCGTCGGGCTAGGCTTAAGTTCATAACAAATGAAGAGTATGGCTGCGAGTGTGCGTCTGGAGACGGTGTGTGTGTGTGTGTGTGTGTCAAAAGGGTTATGCGCATCATAAATCAAATCAAAGTTGACTGCAGCCCTGCTCGTAATCAAAATCATTTTGTGGTTTTCAACATTTGCTCCGTTACGCTTCTCTAAAGTAATTAATCATTAAAAGTAATTGGTTTTATGTTTTGATTTGACAGTTGAAAAATTGCAGCTGTGACAATTCAATTCCATTTCCTTTTTCATCCATCGTTTATATCCCTTTTTTCTTTTTAACTGCACATACGTTGCATTGCGCTCACTTAAATTGCTACATTTTTTTTACTTATATTCATATTCATACATATGGCAAATTAAATGAATATTTTGCGCTGTCGAGAAAAAAAGATGTGCACAAAATGCTTCGTTTGTGGCTGTGAAATTATCTGATAAAAATTGTACAATGCAAAAGCAATTGATTAAATATATACAATATTCATAAATATATAAAAAGAATACAAAAATATACAAATAAATAAATTGAATAAGCTAAATATCATTGCTTTATACCGAGCACTTGTTTAATTTGTTTTCGTTAACCTTTTGCATAGGGATTATGATTTTTAATTTTTATTTTTCTATGGTACAGACAACATAAATTCCATATTCAATATTTTAGTATTTCGAATGAAAAGCAGCAATAACAAAATTTAGGATTACGAAAAAACTTTGTTATGACTCTTTTTAGCCACTTTTAATTATTGCAGGGATTAAAAATAGTAAGAAAACGGTTTAAAAATAATACAATGCATGTGTATTTATGAATATGCACATGAAATCCTCTATGGAAACTCATCACTATTATTTTCAAAGAATAATTCCTCAATGATGTGAGTTGTTGAATAAACTCATTCGTTATAAAGCAGCTAAATTGTTCCAATAATGTTTTTGTATAAAATTACCGTATAAATTGAAACTACAAATTAAATTGTTTTAATTTTTTAATTGTTTAATTTTGAGACGCACTCAAATTGTAATTAATATCAAGCATTATTTTATATACATTTTCGTTCATGCTAGTTTTTATATCAGCTTTAAAATTCAATTTAAGATTTTATGTTTTGCATAAGAAGCCGTTGAATGGTTTATTTATAACTTTTTTTCAAGCAAATCCAAACGCAGACTGAATTAAGAAATTAAAGTTAAGCCATGGGGCACAAAGTTTGAGTCCCAAAGACGCGACAAAAATGTTGTCTGGCTGGCAAAACTTTTCAAAATGTTGACAATAAAAAATTATTAAAAAATGCTTTAAGGTCTTTACAGGAATTATGCCACAGTGGCCGTCATAAACTTGGCTTTGAGTATATTTCGCTTACACAAATGCGATGGCTGAGAAATGCCGCTGCTCCATCTGGAGACTTTGCGAGACTCTCAGTGCCACTTCAAAGGGAATAAAACGGGAGCTTACTTGAAATAAACAAAAATACACACAAAAATAACAAACAAATCCCGCAGTCTGTCGAGCAGAGCTCCATTCGTTTTTTGTCCCATGGAGTCTGGAGCTGAGCCACTCGCTGGGCTTGTGGCGCCCGCTTTTGCTCAATAATAATATTGATGTTATATTTTTCAAGTGGCCGCCGCCAACGCATGAGTTCTCTTCATTTTTTTTTTTGTTTTGTTTTGCGTGCTGCCAAAGTTTTTATTTGAGAACGTTTTTGTTTTTGGTTTTTATTGAAGTATATTTTGCTAGCTAATTAAATGCCATTTGGGACGTCATGAAAGTAATTCATATTAAATATTTATGCAGCATTTAATCAGAGAAACAAATACACACGAACTCACACTCACAGACGAGCGCTCATCGTAGATCTGAGTATTCATTTCTGTTTATTTAAACATTAAATGAGCTTACATTTGATTAGCGTCGTGTGTTTATTTTCATATCAATGGAAGCTGACAGCGCTTCTAGCCTACCATTAGCCGTTGCGGAATCTTGTCCTTAATTTTGTGTTCAATGTCAAAAAAAGGCACGGCTACCCGACTGACCGATACCCCGTACATCTGTTTGTTAGGGAAAGATTTTTTATATATAATTATCTTGTCAACATATGCTTAATCACACGCTTCCTGGCTTTGCTAAACTTATTCAAGCAATACTAAATGTATATATATATTTTTAATTTATTCATTCATTTGCTTCACAACATATTTTTTAAATTTATTTACTTGAGCAGAATTCAAACAAAAAAAAAAATGCTTATTCTGGTTTACAGCACAAATCACTACAACCATTTGCATTGTTATTTACAGGGTATAGAAATAATGCGTTTGGGTCGCATTTTATGTATTTGCTTTTGGCTGATTGCGCTAATTTCATTTGTTGTTGCCTTCCTTTTGCCTTTTATGCGGCCAGATGAATTAAAAAATATATTTTAGCCCATATACCAAGTACATATTTATGTATGCGTACTCCGCTAAAATCCATTTGATAAATGCAAAAATGCGCGAAATTGTCTTGTATTTTTTTTTTTTTTTTAATTTTAAATTTTGTTGACAATCTATCTTATGATAATAAGAAAATTATGCGAGAAAAATATTCGCTGGCTTCCCAAGTTATTGTGAGCGGAAGAGGTGGAGCCTAATGATGCCATTGTAGATGGTCGTGAGGAAGGCGAGGGCACGTGAAGGAAGAAGCTTGATGTTGGTTGCATCGATGCCGTCGTACCCAGGGCTTGAAGATGTCTTTAAACTAGACACTACATATTTGACTTCCTCTGCTAGTATCGGCCGTATCGGCAAGTACATTTTGTCTAAAAATAGTTATCAATAAGTTCTTTTTAACACATCACGTCGGGAGGGGCGCCCTGCGGACTTTTAGCGCTGCTTACGCAGGTAACGAGAGTAATTTACACGCAGTCGTGTGATTTTGTCGACCAATAAGATTAGCTATTGCTAATTAGAGGTAATGGTAAACCGAAATCAAAACAAAAAGAGATTACTGCGCATGCGTAGATAGACTGGACTCAACAAATGATAGATCGCGAGAGATTTAGACATGAATAGTGTTAATATTTTATTTTGCGTATAAATTTTTTTTCGGCATTATTTATATAAATGGGCTGACCTTCTTAATCGGTATAAAAGTAAAAATATATAATAGACAATAAACAACAATTCCTTTGAAACAGATACGACAGGAGAGTCAATATGGCGAGTATTGCAGCAGTTTCTGTGGACGGACGCACTGCAGCATTGCAAAGTTTCGGAGTCATATCTGGATAAAACATTTCAACATTGCCGAGCATCGAAGCAAAGTTGGTTTTAAATTCATTTAAATCAGCTTGTTTGGGATCGTTGTCACGTGTCAAGATCTTAATGGCTGGCTGGGAGGAGCAAATAAATACCACTTCTGTGGGGAACAGAGCCAACACTTTAAAGGTGACTGATGCGCTTCCATATTTCATCACGAAAATGCTGTTTTTCGTTGCCTCATCCCAGGGAAAAGAAACCGTCTCCTTAATAGCACGATCTTTACCATCTTCGGTAATTTTGTATTTCAATATCAGTTTCAGTTCAGTGTCCGCAGTTGGTGGCACCAGGACACTCAAGCATTTAATATCCATCCCTTTTGGCAAGCGCGAAAACTCGTACCAATAACCCGATACCTGAGGCATTCCGAAAATAATTAGCAGGGGCTTTATTCTAGAGATTCCTACTTACAGCAGTTAGATTAAGGGGAATTGACGGACCTTCGCAATGCTCCTTGGTGCGCAGAGATTGAGCACTGCTCGACCAGACGAACGCTAAAAGCAGCCCGACAAATAAATACGCATCCATTATCTGTGCTCTGCTCTGCATCCACAAGACAACCCAGCTAGCCGGACTCGGGGCTATTTATAAAGCTCGGCTTATCAGAAAACTGTTGTTTCGGCAAAGTCCACCCTAAATTTATAAATTTTTGGGAAATGAGCCCTAAACGATATAATTTATATGAAAACGGAAAACTTGATACTTTAAACTTCTACTTATCGAAAAATGTATAGAATCATTTTAGCTATAGTTTAAGGTGTTTCATAGAACAAATGGATTACTAAAGCATATTATTATCAATATAGCATCTAATGCTCACAACCTCAATAAACTATATAATGACCAAAAATAATAATCATCTGCAGGCAATATTCACAATATTAACTATTATTCAAAATATTTTGATTAGTTTTCACCCAACTGTATTAAGTCTAATATCCAGTTAACAAACAACTTGCAATTTGCACTTGCTGTCCCTTAATGAAATTTTCAACTGTTGATCATATTGTACCATATTATATTTGTATATGCGCAAAAAGTCACTTGCATTTAAATTATGGCTTCTATTAGTGGGCAACATAAATTGGATTATTTACTTGATTTATAGTAACGAAGTAGGTGGTGGGGAGTTGGTGATAGCTATAAAATGAAAGATACTTGATATATATATACTATTCTAGAAGCTTTATGTCAAGTTTGGTGACTCTAGCTCTTATTATTTACCAAATTTGCACAAAAAACAGGATTTTGATACCAAGTTTTATCGATTTCTTGGAAACGGGGCGAATAGTCGAATATCTGTTTATTTAAACATTAAAAGAGCTTATGACGTGTGTTTATTTTCATATCAATGGAAGCCGACAGCGGAGCTGACTAGCCGTAAAGAAATCTTGTCCTTAATTTTGCGTTCAATGTCAAAAAAGGCATCTCTGCCCTACTGACAGATACCCTGTAAATCTGTTTGTTAGGGAAACATTTTGGAAGCGCTAACAATCGGCTTATATATGTACATCAATATCTTATTAACACATTCTTAATCATACGCTTCCTCGGTTTGCTTATGTTATTCAAACAAAATTAAAAAATATACATCTGCTTCACAACATATTTTTAAATTTATTTACGCACTTGCTTTTGGCTGAGTGCGCTTATTACATTTGTTGTTGCCTGCCTTTTGCCTTTTACGCGGGCGGATGAATTAAAAAGCCCATATACCTTTATATATTTGTAACAGAAGTCTGTTAAAATCCATTTGAAAAATGTATAAAGGCGCTTGTATTCAAATATATAATATAATTTTACATTAATAAACTGATTGTAATTAAAACCATGATGAAAGCCTACCAAGCTTCAAAAAGTTTTGCGTTGATTAAACCATTTTAATTGCTTAGTAAATAATATATATGATACAATTTGTATTAAGCAAATATTTATGGTTACGTTAAAAAAAAGAGAAATAACATAACATTTTATTCAGAAGAAATATTGAATGAATTATTTGCATATAAGTTTGACATTATTTGTGTTATCATAATTGTTAGATACCAACTTTAGTTACTTCCTCGCTTACACGCATAGCATATTTGTACAAAACATTTGCAACGAATGTCTATATAGTATACATTTTATGCTATACCAGTTGCTCAATTTGATTTAGATCGTATTGCGTCCAAATTTAGATGAACCTATTTTAAGTATAAAATTTGTTCTCTAACTTTTGACCAGCTATTCAAAAAGTTCACCTGCCAAAGTCTCAATAAAATAAAGATTACCTGGGTATTGCATTTCCGTGAAGAGTGCCCTCGTACTTAACACAAAAGCCAATTGCATAAAGGCTGCCATTTACAAGTTCGATACTCGGCAAATCGCTTCAAGGGTGACAAAACCATCCGCTGACAACTGGCAGCAGCTTCAGTTTGTTGCCAACTGTCAGCTCGTTGTCCAAATGACAAATGGGCGCATTTGCCTTTTGTCAGACAACACCATAGATACGGCGGAATCGCGCAAAACGGCAGTAAAAATAAAAAGTAAATAAACTGTGCAGAGCATCAAAACAAAAACAAAAAAACAGAGCCCCAAATACAAAGCGGCTTTTATGCCACACACGTTGCACGTCGACCAGTAGAGAGTGAAAAATCGGGGCATATATTTATTTATTTCTGCACGCCGCCAAAAATTGTCAACATGGATCAATATCGACTATGACGACAACAAGAACAACTTTTGGCTGCCAGTCGGGTAACAATGTCATCGTCACCCTCATCATATCTGTGATATAGCATTAAACGAACGCGTATTGTATCTTAAAGTATCATATTTCTGCACATAAACATAATATGCGCTGGTTTTGTTGCTGTTTTGAGCAGTTAGCATTGAAAATTGTGTGGCCAACAACAACAGCTTGAATCGAGCAATAACAAAATTTTGTGTTTTCCACTTCATTTGCTTGGTTCAACTGGTCTCAAAATTGGTTTGCCATGACTTGAACTTTGCGTCTTCAAATAACAATGGGCTTAAGTATATGTGCTAAGGGCTCATCACAATTACAAGGCTGATCAATAAATTATAAATTATAAATATTAATTAGTCTTAATAGCTCCAAATCGATCTGTGTAGATAATTTGTCAATATGCGACGCTTCATTGTAAAACGCGATTTAAAGATCATGTAATTATATATAACATTTTGTAAGCTGTGGTTAAAGCTTATAACTGAAACTCACCTATATTAACAGTGTCCACATTAACACAATAATTGATTCCAAAAAAAATTTCAGTTTTGATATCCAAACTCAAACACTTGTGTCAATAACAAACGTTGATAAGAAAGGATTTGCCTGGTGTTGCAAAAAATTGTTTGTTTTCTTTTTCACCGCGCTGACCCGCTGTTGCCTGTCTTTCCATTTTTTGTTTCCGCGCTCGACTTGGCGCGAATGTTTTATCAGCTGCTGTTTGGCACAGTGCGTGCGCTGGCTGAAAATAAAATTAAACAAAACAAAAGCCAAGCCCGAAATTTGCATGAACCCTTGTGGTGCATAAAGTTAATTTCGAAACACAAAAAAAGAAATATGCAAACAAACATCCAAAACCAAGCTTCATTGTCAATTAGAGTAGACACATCAAGCATACGCAGCGTGTGCGCGGCGGCAGAGCTTTGACTCTGTCTGGTCGGTCAGACGTGCTGCACTAATTGCATGACAGACAACTTAAAATTTATAAAATTCAATTTGCTAATTGCTATCAAAATAATGAAGTCTACTTGAGACTGTAAAAAGGGGGCTGAGGGGCTGCCGCTGCTGATTGCAACCATCAAGTATCATTCGAGTAATTTAAAGTGCACTCGCCCCGGCCAGAGAGCAGCTCTTGTGCGAGCAGCGGATGCTACTGCTGCTGCTGCTGCAGCTGAAGTTACTGCAGCAATAAAATCAAGCAAGTAGCTGCAACAGCAACAACAATATGCTACAAAAACTGGCCAAAAGTTTGCTGCACACGACGAGTCATACAAATAAAAGTTCAGCTTGAGCTTATGCAAGCCAAAAGTTCACCCTTTGCCATATACACTTGAGGTGTTTGCCCAGAACTTTGTTGTATGTGCGCCACGCAGCGCCCTTCTCCTTACCTTATGTAAGTTTGCTGCTTTCGTTGCTTATGTGTATTTCTTTCCCCCTTAGTTCGCAGCATTGTCCATTTATGTCTTGTTAAGACTTTTATATGCTTAAGTCCATATTTAGTTTCATTCCTCCCAAGTTTCTTAAACTGCTTTGCTAACTAATCCCTAATCCGTTTCCTAAAACATGCCAGCTGCAAGTAATACTTTAAACGCAACATACTAAAAAATTTCTTGCAGCATGAAGCATAGTTAGTATTCAGCCTAAAATTAAATCTAAAATAATTCCCAGATATTTTTCCCTATACTGAAAATGTGAAATTGTTTTTATATTAAATATAACGATGTAAAGATACAGCTTTTATCCAAAAATATCATAACTAAAATTGTTTCTTGCAACAAGAAATTAATAACATATAATAATGCTTAAATTCAGAGCTCATAAAAAGTTGGTTATAAAAAACAAATCCTAGAAATTTCAGTTTTTGCGCTAATTTGATCTAAATTCACGAACTCATTAACTTAAAATATGCACAATGGCAATTTGATTAGGGTAATTTGCTGTTGATCCTGCACGAAGCGTTGTCAATGTCACAGGCCCGCAAACACACACACACCCAAATACACCCAGCAACAACAACAACAACAATAACAGCAATACAATGAATGGCATTGCTGGAAATGTCTCAACATGCTGGGACATATAATCTTTGCTGTAATTTGTTGATGGTTGTGCGTCGTTTATGCCAAATTAATATGCAGCGGCAAGCCGAAGGCAAATTACATCAATAAATTAAATGCTGTCTGGAATAAAAGCACAATTTTTCGGCGTCTCAAAGTTAACAAAGTTGTCTTCTTGAAATTATGAACAATTTCCCAGGCACACACCCAAAAGAAAGAAACAGATACAGAAAAAAAGCAAATATATAAAAACGTAGAAGTTACACGTTGCGCGCAGCGACTTTGCACTTTGAATAATTGCACGCACGTTTCATAGAATTTTGCGCCTATTTTGGCATAACTGCTATATTTAACTGGCTATGGGAATGATTCAAGAGTGTGCTGGCGTGCTCACCCCTTTGCCCCCTGGCGCGTTACGTGTTTGGTTTCCTTAAAAGCTGAATCTGTTTATGGCCCGCGTAACTGTCTGGGCCGCATTTTCCACAAGCGTCGCTAATTTTCAGCAAGTAAATTTAATTTGCCGCCCGCCAGGCAATTCAATTCTCTTAGCTTCCATCTCTCACTCTCTCTCAGTGGAGCCTCTCTCTCTCTCTCCCCCTTTTTCTCTGTTGAGAGTTGCAAAGCATTTTCTTTGGCGCATTTTTGCATTTGGGTGTACGAACGCACCTTTGTGGCCCGATTGGACGTGTCCTTAATTGTGTGCAAAGGCATTGTTATGCTTTGTACTTAACATATTAAGCTCGACTGAAATAAAGTCAAGCATATCCATTTTTGAACTGAATATATTTATATCTAACTGAGGGTTAATGCAAAAAAAAAATAAAAATTTATTTTAATAGGGTTTAATCTTATATTCCAGATATATAAATTTATATTAATTATTTATTATTTAAAAATTGTAGATATGTGCATTAAAAACCAATATACCT